AAACATTTGTAAGAGCATTGGTGAATAGGGCCTACAGCTATGTATGCTATGAGCAGGGCTCTGCATTGAAACTCTTTCAATAGCATATATGGCCTAACATGTTTTACAAGCATAGTGGGTGAGTGAAGACTCAAATACTGTAAATGTTATAAGGTTATATTATACTTTGATACATTTATATAGTTCCTCTTCCAGGTTGTGGTTATTAGCCTCTGCAGTGGACAGATGTAGATTTAGCCAGAGCCAGGATGTCATTGTACAAATACAGCCTCCTCCTGAGAGCAACACATTCCCCTTGTAGTGTTTTACATCTACTGAAGTTAAAGATAATAAATAATGCTCTCCAATCTTTTTTTACATAAAGTGTGGTGTTGGTTGTGTGTGGAAGTGAAAGAGTTGCAATGCAGAGCCATGCTTCACTGTGCCGTTGTACAATATGATGTACATTTGTAATAAAGTCATAAGCTGACATCATCCAATTCCACAAAAGCAGTGCCACAAAATCCACAAAGATGTGGCTTAACATAAACCATACATATCTGAAAGTGACAACAATTAAGGCCCTTTTATGGTGCCAGAGGAAGGAGTGGTGTTCTGCTTTGTCCTGTCCAGCATTTATTTGAAGAGAGAGTGATGGTAGGTGAAGGGGCCAGTCCTGCTACTATCATCAGTCATTAAACCCTGCACACAGTGCACAGGCTCACATCCTCCAGGACAGGTATTGGGGAAACTCTGGGAGGCCCTGACACGAGTACCAGGGAGAAATTAAACTAAATGCCAAAAAACTAAAAGTAAAAAACTAAACACTTTTATTTTACTTTACACAAGTACCAAAAGTACAGAGCACTGCCTTTACCTGGTGGTTCATCAAACAGAATTAAACCCCCCAAAAGCGCTAAAAGATCTGAAAGTCCCAGCTCATTTTTGACAGAGTAATGCTGGGTTTCACACACAAGTAGGTCTACATAACTAATGAGAACTACAAGCTGCCTTGTGCATCCTTATGGACATTTTTGTCCTTTTCAGTTTTTTTTATCACTTTACCTGTGTTAATGCTAATTTGGCACAGGTGTGTATTTTCATGGAATTTTAAAATTTCACGGCCATTTTCTTAAAAAAATAATAATGATTTTGCATTAGGTACACAAAATACTCCCTATCTGCGCTCTTTGGACAAAAATGTTCCCATTGAAACCGCAATTTTTAATCCCAGGGTCATTTAACTATAAAATGATGCAATCTTTGTTAAGAGGCTTTTATTCTGTTGGCAAGACTCCAAAAGTTTTATTTTTACTATTTTTTTTTATCAGATGGTGCCAGTTGTCCAGGTTTGGCCTATAAAACAAATATTGCTTTATTCCTGTTTTCTGCTTATTAACGATAATTGTGTGGGTGGATGTCAGAGTGTGGTTTGTTTGTATGTGTGTAATACATTTTTTTTTGTGTATATATGTGTTTGTGTGCTTGTAATATTTGAGAGAGAAAAACTCATTTGCAAATCTAAAATCCAATCACTGTGTGCACCAGTGGAGTTTTGCTGGCACCCAGTGGGGGAAATCTGTTACTGCACCCAAACAAACTTACTGAAAGCTCATTTTTTTTGAGATACTGTAGGACTATCCAACTCAAATTTGGAACACAACATATTTAGATTCATGGCTTTGATTTTCTTGCAGTTTTTGAGTTCAACCTGATTTATAAAATATATATTTTATAAATCATATTTTTTTATAAATAATTTTCATAAACTTATACCTATATAACTTTTTTTTTGGATTTACTACTTATTATTTTAATTTAGCTTTAGTTTACTTCAGCAATAATCTGCCATGGGTCTTCTTTAAAATGATACCAACTTAAGTCTGTGCTCCAAGCTTCACATTTCTATGACAGTTTTTTGACACGGACATTTTTGTCCTCTATATAATTGATGCACAAGGGTTAAAAATATTTAATCTACTTAACTAACATAATAATATTACACTGGAGAAAAATGCAAAGGAAAAATAAAGAGAGTTTTTAGCAGCTATGCTATTATAGTGATAGAAAGGGGAGCTGGAAGGCAGGTGAAGTTCAGTTTTTTATTTAAAAAAAATATGATTTATGAAATATATATTTTATAAATTGTGTTTTTGCACAGTGACATCCTGGCTCTGGCTAAATCTACATCTGTCCACTGCAGAGGCTAATAACCACAACCTGGAGGAGGAACTATAAATGTATAAAAGTATAATATAACATTTACAGTAGGTTTTAGTCTTCACTCACCCACTATGCTTGTAAAACATTTTAGGCCATATATGCTAGTGAAAGAGTTGCAATCCAGAGCCCTGCTCATAGCATACATAGCTGTAGGCCCTATTCACCAATGGTTTTACAAATGTTTAATTCTCCCTAACAGCCAGAGTTATTATTTTATTTGTTTGAATTTTTATTTCAATTAACTAAAGTCTTACTCACACCCAGTGCTACTTTAGTTGTACTAAAAAATGTTATATTAGTTCAGTTTTAGTCTACCATCACCTCGCTAACTGTAGTTACTTTTATTTTGAAAGTGTTTCCGGAATGAATGAATAACGATAAAATTCAAAAATGAATAACGATAAAATTATCGCCAAAAAACGAAAATCTGGCAGTTTTTAATTTGTTTTTCGTTTTTTGATTCTGACACCAAAAACGGTTATTTGGTTTTTCTATTTGAAACAAAAAACAGAAAAACGGTATTTTCGTTTTATAATTACAAACGAATTACGGATTATCCAGAGATCCCCTGACCCTACATCTGTACGTTTTGATAGTTTGTTTTCCAGTTTGAAACGAAATAAGCAGAAACGAGAAAACGGCTCGTTTATTCGTTTTTTCGTTTTTTCAAAAAAAAAAAAGAAAAACGAGATTTCGGCTTGATTTTTCGTTTTTTAGTTCAAAGACAAAAACACGAATAAATGACTTCAAAATTCGTTTTCCACACGTGGGCGGTCCTGAAACGCCCCCTTCCGCCGATTGGTCAAGCAAATCTGAGCATGTGACGTCATCAGCCGTCGCTCCGGTCTGTTCAAATAATAGTCCTAAAAAATAAAATAAAAAATAGTCCTCTATATGGTTACCGACTCTTAAACTGTACAGGGCAGGTCATATTGGGCTTTCTTCTGTGCAACTTAACGCGTTTCACAGAAATCTTTACTTCAGACATGAATGTCTGCCAACAGCCCGTTCTGTTTGGTGAAGCGCTTGACAGCGGCGAAGCAGTCAGAACTTTTTTTAGACAGTAAACTCCGTTTAGACACGGGATTGTGATATTGTAATGCCAATCGCCTGAGGGTGGGCACCGACGATGGTGAAATACATTTCTACTGAAACTATCATAGCCGCTATGATATAATATATCATAGCGGCGGGTCGCGGCTATGATATAAACTATCATAGCCGCGACCCGCGATGATTGACAGGACGATAGAGGAGACAATTAAAAGCGCAATATAACTTCAGTTAACAAAAACACAATTTAAAAAAGTGTTTAACATAAGTTACTTTGTCGTATTGTTTTTAATCCAATAATTGGGAACCACAAACGGAGCCTTCCCAGATAGCAAACTGACATTGAATCAACGTGGAAACAATGTCTCTCATGACATTGAAACAACGTTGATTTTGCTCATCGAATTAACGTTGAACCAACGTCAGACGCGGCATTCTTCAAAGCTAAATGAAAATCGAAAATTGGTTTGCTTTCATAACGTTGAAACAACGCGTTGATTTCAAGTTGATTTTCCGTTAGTTTTGAAAGAATGACGAGTCTGACGTTGGTTCAACGTTAATTCGATGAGCAAAACAATGTCAGATCAACGTTGTTTCGATGTCATATTTCCACGTTGATTCAATGTCAGTTTGCTATCTGGGTTCGTTTAGAGCGATTTCCAAATATATTTTATTTGTTATAATATTGGGTAACGTTATATGTCACGTTACCAATACGTGTCAGTGTTCATCCAAACACTTTTGTAAGCACACGGGAAGTAACTCTGGCAAATACTCTCCGACTACAGTCACATGTGACGCATATCTGACACAAGTTGTGTTACTATAACACATTAGTGTGTAAAAGGTTTCAACAACACACTGCTGCTGTCTAACACATTAGTTGTGTTAAACGTAACACAAAATGTGTAATCCTTATAAACACAGAGATGTGTAAAGAAACAACACAGGTTGTGTGTTAAATTTGACACAACATGTGTTGTCCTTGAGCAAACACACTACATGTGTTAAAATCTACAAAACGGGTTAAAATCTACACAACATGTGTTAAAATCTACACAAAATGTGTTGTACCTGAGCACACACACTACATGTGTTAAAATCTACACAGCATGTGTTTAAATCTACACAAAATGTGTTGTCCCTAAGCACACACACTATATGTGTTAAAATCTACACAGCATGTGTTATTTTTAACATCTCTTTTTACAGGTTGTGTTATTTACAAAATCATTTTATAAGAGTGCACCAGTGTAAATAAAACTTATTTACACACAATATTTTGTCAGTTGCTACATTTTAATCTAATTCAAAGTGCAAACTTAGTGAAATCACACTCCCTGTGTTAAGAACAATAACACACTGGTTGAGTTAAAAGTAACACAAAATGTGTTGTCCTTAACTAGACACACAGGTGTGTTAAGATATAACACAGGTTGTGTTGTTTTTAACACATCCATTTTAAGAGTGTAGGTGATGTGTCAATAATTATGTTAATGAAATTGAAGTATAATTAGTATGAAATGTGTTCTTATATATTCTGGTAGAAGTTATTTATTTATTTACTAGGAGAATGAAGGAGAATCCAAATGAGTAAAGTGACTGATATTTTGTGAAAAGCGCTATATAAATATACTTGATTTGACTGATAAAACGGGTCATTTACTCTCTGAAACACTGGAATCTACAGAAGAGTTGAGAAATGTTATTGGTCTAACGTTAAATCTCTTATGTTTTAGTAGATGCCCGTTTCTAAATATTTTGACATCACCTCTTAAAAAACTGATAACTGCTAATGATAAGAGATTTGTTTATTTTTTTTATTATTTTTATATATCAAGCACTGGAAGAAGATTTTTGGGGGGAGAGCAGGCACCCCAACAGAGAGACAAATCCACCACGGCATGATTATCAACTTCATTAAGATGTAAGTCAGTTTTAACCATTGCTTCTAAACCTTACATCGGGAATTCGGGATTAATATATTATGTTGTCAAAAGTATTATACTCATCATCAAAAGTCATATCCTCTACCAGTGACAAATCTGAGTAACTAATTATCTTTATGTCTTTCTTCCTCTAAAGTGACAAAGAAAGGAGAACATGTCACCATCATGAGCCCTTTATTTAGTTCACGGAAGAACATCAAGGGAAAGACCCTCAGACTTGTCATAACAGGATAAATGTGGCTACAGGTAAAATTGTTTGATGGTTTGTTTGATTTTGGAGTGGCAATTTCTTTTTTTAAAGCTTCAATTGATGTGATGTGACATGTGTCCCCAAACTCAGAATTTGTGCTCTTCATTTCATCCATTCAAGTGCACACACACACACACACACACACACACACACACACACACACACACACACACACACACACACACACACACACACACACACACACACACACACACACACACACACACACACACACACACACACACACACACACACACACACACACACACACGCACACACACACACACACACACACACACACACAGTGGAGACCGGGGAGCTATTGGGCTATTTTTCATGTTCTCTGAATGTTTTATAATGGCAAATGTTGGTACGATATTGATACGTTTTGTTTTAATATTGTTTAAAGGAATTGTAAAAATGTAATCTTTCTTTTTAAGGATGCATCACCCCACCCCATCCCAGATTGACCAAGGATCCAGATGAGTACTGGAAATTTGGTGGAGGATTGCTCTTTATCTACTACATTGTACTGTCACTTCCGGTATGGATTTATTAACCTTGTTGAGGTGTTTTGATTGAACTTAATTTAATACATTTTTCAAAATTAGATTTTACATAATTTAATTAGAGTATTTAGCCCATGATTTACTCACCCTCAAGCCATCCTAGGTGTATATTAGCCCACGTTCTTCTTTCAGACAAATACAATCAGAGTTTTATTAATAAACACCCTGACGCTTCCAAGTTTCGTAATGGCAGTGGATTGCAACTAGTTTAAAAAAGCTCAAATCATTCAGCACAACATTGTTAACATTTGTTATCTCGGTTATTTACAGATACGTTAATTAAGCTAAGTGACATGATGTACAAAGCAGCTAGAAGGCTAACTTTAGTTGTTGTTGTGGTCTACCGCGGCGCATGACTTAATCGCATAACTTAATCCAGAGTAGACACTTATCTCTGTTGAGAAGTGGCTTGAGAAAGGGTAAAGAAATACACACCGTCGCCCAGTCTCTCGGGAACCTAGTGTCGGAGTTGTATGTACCCCATGCACACCGTTTGACCATTTTAAACTTAAAATGACAAAAAAAAACCTAATGAAAACTGACTAACTGCAATGCATTTCAATGGACGTGGAAGCAGAGAATGTCCGAGTGTATTAGTTTAGGTGCGCACTGCTCATCGCGTTTGAGTGAATGGCTTAGCCATAGGTCAATTTGTGACGTCAGAAGTAGCGTAGTGCATAATGGTGTAGAGTAAATATCAACTTAAAACCACATAAGTTGCACTTTACACTTAAGTGCAATCTGTATGTTCGCTTGGCCGGAAGCTGGTTATTTTATTTAATAAAGTTTTAAATATGAATATTTGATAATGCTTTAGATTACAGCCAGGAAAGTACTGCGTAATTAAAGCGATTTAACAGCGTAACCTTTGGTAATTATAGTGTACCTATAACATACTTACAATATAAGTATAAAGGAACAATATATTAAGTTTGGGGAATAAGGAGGTAACAACCAGGAGAATTAAACAATTATTTATACTGTAAGTATTAAAGAACTAAAGGGTGTTTATCCTACTATTGTGATATAACAATCTTACATTTGGGAGCAATTTCGCCAGAAAATTGTACACTGCGTACCTTTTTGAAATAAAGGTGAACCAATACCTACTCTAAAATTACAGGCTTTTAAAAAAAATTACAGGGTACATATGCATTTATAAAGTCATCTTTTTTACATAAGTGCACTGAAACGAAAACTATTGCAACTTTTGCTTAAATATTGGGGAAAGATACACTTGTTTCATGTGGTGGTGCTTGTTACCCCCTTGTTCCATGTAGTTACAGGGTAAGAACAATAAAAATACATACACAGTTTTATATCACTGACTTGGAAACCTTTATTTATTATACAAGCACCACTTACCCTGTAACCACATCAAACAAAATATATGTCCCAGTATTTAAAAAAAATTGCAATAGTCTTAGCTTTTCTTGCCTTGAAACATGTTAGCCAAAACTTAAACATCTGCACTTTTGCTATAATTTTTTTTTTTAATATTAAAGAATTGTATAAATGCCTATATATGTACCCTGTCCTTTAAAAAAAGCCTACAGTATTGATACACATTTTTTACAAAAAGGTTTGCAGTGTGTACTCGCTAAATTGCTCCCAAATGTAAGACTGTTGTATCATAATAGTAGAATAAGTAACCCTTATTTCTATAATACTTACAGTATAAATATATATTTTTAATTCTCCTGGTTGTTACCCCATTATTCCCAAAACTTTACCCATATACTTACATGCAAGTCCTTTATAGGTACACTATAATTGCAGAAAGTTACACTGTAAATTCCTCTTAATTACACAGTACATTCCGGGCTGTAATCTAAAGCGTTACCGAATATTTTTCTTACACAAACTCATGGCTTTGCTTCAGAAGGCGTTTAATAACCCCCTCCCACTGTATATGCGCTCTTTTGACTCTGTTGATGCCTTCAAATGCAGACTAAAGACTCATTTATTTGTTCAGGCTTTTAATTAGGTACCTGTGTTACATGATATGATCATGTACTGTCTATGCCTTTATTGTGTGTATTTTATGATATTAATGTTTTTGTTGTAAGGCACTTTGTTGCCTTGTACCTGTGAAAGGTGCTATATAAATAAACTTTTGCTTACTATAGTTAACCTAACCCTAATATCTGGCCGATTGATCGGAGCATCCCTAATTTTACTTTAAAAGTAATCATAAATCATTATACTTATTATGCATACTTTATAAACTGTTTTTTATTGATTTCCCAAATGCCCTTCCAGTGACATTCCAAAACCGTCACCATTCCTATATAATTTTTTTGCTGTTTTTTTTTTTATCCTGAGTAAAAATTGTTATTCTGTTATAAGGTATTGTGACGTGTAAGTAACATGATTTTTCTAAAATCAAAAAATGTTTTGCAGAGGCTCTTAAGAAGACAACACAGATCAACTGGCAAGGAACTGAGAGGGAACTCTCAAAATAGTCCAGGACAAGAGATGGAGGAGGAGAGTGTCTAGATGCGCAAATGACTGTCTGCAGTGTAAGCTGTACTGATAAATGTACTGTATAGTTGCTGCTTCTTCTAACTGTCACCAATTTATATCCTGTTCAAATGTTCAGTAAAGACTGGGTCAAATACAGGTTCAAAATATGTATTTTAACAAATAGGTATTAAATAGATACTCATTAATCTGACATAAATCTGCTTCTTTAAATATTGTCCCTGGAATTTCAGAATATAGCATAATATGAGTAATTTTAATAAAATTGAAAATATTTCAATATCACTGTGTGCTCTAATGCTTTAAAACTTGTTTGTGTGGTGTTGCTACTCATTTAGATGGAGCCCAGATGATCCCTAATTGGGCCACATGCATATGATTCCTAGTTGGGCCCCACCTAAAGCCCTGTGAAATCCTGTATAAAAGAAATCCTGAATCCTGAAATCCAGCAAGTTGCTGGGGCCAGCATGGAACCTATGGACAAACCCACTTAAAGCCCATATTTCAGCCCATATAGTAACCTTGTAGTACCCACAAAAAACTAAAGCTGGGACCAAGATAGGTCTTGTGCATGTGGCCCAGTTGGGGCCCACCTGTTTATAAGTGCGATCCTACATGAAACCCACCTGGGCGATTTACATGGCACCATACAATCCCACAACACCGGACAATCCCATACAGAGCCCACTTTTCAACCCACATGGGCCCCACATACAAATGTCAGCTGGGTTAAAGCTGGGACCGAGATGGGTCTTATGCATGTTGCCCACTTGGGTCCGGCCTAGTACCAAGTGCAATCCTACATGAAATTCATCTGGGCAATTAACATGGGGCCATTATGTAACCCGTGGACAATCCCAATCAAAGCCCATTTTTCAGCCCATTTCAAACCCACATGGGCCCCATATATAAATATCGGCTGGGTTAAAGCTGGGACCGAGATGGGTCTTGTGCATGTTGCCCACTTGGGTCCGGCCTAGTACCAAGTGCAATCCAACATGAAATTTATCTGGGCAATTAACATGGGGCCATTATGTAACCCGCGGACAATCCTACATGGGGCCCATTTTTCAGCCCATTTCATACCCATATGGGCCCCACATACAAATGTTGGCAGATCTAGGCTAATTAGTTTGATTATAGAATATGCAACTTTTTTTATATTATTGTACTATTTCATTGTTGTTTTGTAATTAACAATATATCATCATAACTTATAAAGATCAAAATCTACAGAAGAGCTTAATGAGACTGCGTGTTGTGAGACTAATCAATGCGGAAATTTCCCTGCCAACACAATTCTGAATGTTGGCTATGTTACAGATTTAATGTTGAGCAAATAATGTTAAAGGCTTCTTAAATACCATCGGTTGACGAGTCAAGAAGGATGTGTTAATTTGCAGTGATTTTAATCTGTCCTTAGTTGGTGACCCAGTGTTATTATACAGTTTTTGCCCATTGCTATAACACATTTTGCAAAATTTCGCTCATTGTGCCAAAACTCTACACACAAGTAAACGTGACACAACACTGGGAAATATACCATTCGCATCTGTGTCAAATTGAAACTCTACGATCAAAACCTAACATTCCTTTGTCAAAATGTAACTCTGATAACAAAATGACACATACTTGCACCTTATGCTAACACTTTCAGATCAGAGGGAACACACTAGTCTACTTTATATAAAACACTGCCGTCTTTGATTTTGACTGTTTATTCAGAAGGCATATTTTCAGGAGGCACATTTTCAAACAACCAAAAAAGCAAACAGGCCTACTCAATATTGTACATAGCACTGTTCATTGCAGTAAGATAAATTCAGATAAAGCAAAAAAAAAAAAAAAAAAAATATATATATATATATATAATAATACAGTTTTTGCCCATTGCTTGAACACTATAGAACCATGCTTAGACTAAAGTAACACAACTTGAAGCTTTTTTTACCATGCCTCAAACACATGTACCCATACTTTAAACAAAAGCGTTGCTTTGCACTCTAGCTGCAATTCTCCAACACACTTACTCCTTTATGCAACACACTTGGTCCTTCATACTACACTCTATTTCATACATAAGACACTTTGTTCAAAAATGAAATCTCAGGGTGTCATTTGGAAAACACATGTATTCAAAATACAAAACACATTGGGTTATTGCAACCACTCAAATACACATCCGAAGGCACTTAATTGCAAAACTGAACACCAATCAGCCAGCTACAAAAAGCCCTCAGTTTAGCCATTTGAAGAACTTTGCAAGCATGGATAGAGGGAGGGAGAGCAAGAGGAAGAGGAGGAGGAGGAGGTCAAGGTCGAAGAGGCCATGCACGGACTCTGATGATATACTGTAAGATCAACTTTGGTGGACCACGTAAACAACCATGGCCTGACGATGAGGGAGGCTGGGCAGAGAGTCCAGCCACATTTACATAAGGCGCTTCACAGTGACATCTATAACATTCCGACTAGAAAACAGGTATGTCTTCACCTCTCTACCTTCTACTCCACTCAGATGGTATTTACAGCACTGTAGTGTATATCACATCAATGACTAGAAGACCTTTTGGGAGAGGACGCCAATGCCTGTTCACACAACAGAAGGAACTCGTCATTGTGGACCTAGTGAGGGCAGACAATGCCATCCGTCTCCACCAGAAAATACTTGCTGATAGAACAGTGTTCAACAACATAAACCATGTGAGGATCACCACCATCAGATGCATCTTGGGAAAACACAGCATCACCATGAAGCAGCTCTACAGAGCCCCATTTGAGAGGAACAGTGACAGGGTCAAAGGACTTCGAGCTGAATATATATGGGTAAGTGTAACTGTCGTTTACATGTACAATACAGTAATGGTGAAATCCAGTACCAGCTGAATATGCACCATATCAGGACCACATGGATCTATTTGGAGAGCTTCACAGGTACCTGTGATGGGGTGAGGGTTCTGTATGGGTGTTACTATAGTGCAGCAATATGCTCTATACTGCATGCAACAACCAACATATACTCACATTTCTAGATGCTCTCCATAATGTATGTATACTGTAATATATATAGTGTTTTTTTCTATTACAGTATTACTGTATTATATATTTTTTTTTTGCTTTATCTGAATTTATCTTACTGCAATGTACAGTGCTGCAATGTACAATATTGAGAAGGCCTGTTTGCTTTTTTGGTTGTTTGAAAATGTTCCTCCTGAAAATATGCCTTCTGAATAAACAGTCAAAATCAAAGACTGCAGTGTTTTATATAAAGTAGACTTGTGTGTTCCCTCTGATCTGAAAGTGTTAGCATATGGTGCAAGTATGTGTCATTTTGTCATCAAAGTTACATTTTGACAAAGGAATGTTAGGTTTTGATTGTAGAGTTTCAATTTGACACAGATGTCAATGGTATATTTTCCAGTGTTGTGTCATGTTTACTTGTGTGTAGAGTTTTGGCACAATGAGCGAAATTTTGCAAAATGTGTTCAAGCAATAGGCAAAAACTGTAATAAAAAAACACTATATATATTTTACATACATTATGGAGAGCATCTAGAAATGTGAGTATATGTTGGCTATTGTATGCACTATAGCATCTCTTACTGCACTATAGTGCTACACATACCCTAAACGAACCCTCACCCCATCACACAGGTACCTGTGTAGCTCTCCAAATGGATCCATGTGGTCCTGATATGGTACATATTCAGCTGGTACTGGATTTCACCAATACTGTATTGTACATGTAAAGAACAGTTACACTTATCCATATATAAGTCCTTTGACCCTGTCACTGTTCCTCTCAAATGGGACTCTGTAGAGCTGCTTCATGGTGATGCTGTGTTTCCCCAAGATGCATCTGATGGTGATCCTCACATGGTTTATGTTGTTGAACACTATTCTGTCTGCGAGTATTTTCTGGTGGAGACGGATGGCATTGTCTGCCCTCACTAGGTCCACAATGGCGAGTTCCTTTTGTTGTGTGAACAGTCATTGGCGTTCTCTCCCAAAAGGTCTTCTAGTCATTGATGTGATATACACTACAGTGCTGTAAATACCATCTGAGTGGAGTAGAAGGTAGAGAGGTGAAGACATATCTGTTTTCTAGTCGGAATGTTATAGATGTCATTGTGAAGCGGCTTACTGTAAATGTGGCTGGACTCTCTGCCCAGCCTCCCTCATCGTCAGGCCATGGTTGATTACATTGTCCACCAAAGTTGCTCTTACAATATATCATCAGAGTCCGTGCATGTCCTCTTCGACCTTGACCTCCTCCTCCTCCTCCTCCTCTTCCTCTTGCTCTCCCTCCCTCTATCCATGCTTGCAAAGTTCTTCAAATGGCTAAACTGAGGGCTTTTTGTAGTTGGCTGATTGGTGTTCAGTTTTGCAATAAAGTGCCTTCGGATGTGTATTTGAGTGGTTGCAATAACCCAATGTGTTTTGTATTTTGAATACATGTGTTTTCCAAATGACACCCTGAGATTTCATTTTTGAACAAAGTGTCTTATGTATGAAATAGAGTGTAGTATGAAGGACCAAGTGTGTTGCATAAAGGAGTAAGTGTGTTGGAGAATTGCAGCTAGAGTGCAAAGCAACGCTTTTGTTTAAAGTATGGGTACATGTGTTTGAGGCATGGTAACAAAAGCTTCAAGTTGTGTTACTTTAGTCTAAGCATGGGTCTATAGTGTTCAAGCAATGGGCAAAAACTGTAATACAACATAAATAAAAACAAACACACGTAATATGCATGCGGCGAAACACATCTGCTCTAGATCACTTTACTGTGTGATGAAAATAAACTTTTCTTAAAGCGTGTTGTAGCTACATGACCACATTGCACGCTTCGTTGTACCGTAATAGACAATTGTCCTGCAAAATGAAGAGGTTTTTGAAGGAAAAAAAAATTGAGAGCAAATGTCAAATTGTTGTATTTATTTTATTTAAACCAACAAGATGAGGCGTTAGGCATCTGATGAAATGTATGAACAAACACCCTGCTTTGCAATATAGGTAGGTGGCATTTAGATGTACAGTCAGGACGATAGACTGGTCAGGACACAGTCTAATACGAAAAAAAAAAACCATTAAAAAAAAAAAAAACTCGGTAGTTGTGGTGGCAAGTCATACAATATATTTGTATTTGAATACCATATGAATAAAAATATATTTAATAATAATAATGAATATATATGTTAGCAGACATTCATGTCTGAAGTAAAGATTTCTGTGAAGTGTTAAGTTGC